TAAGCCACATTCTGCTTATCCAGTCATCCACTGGACATTGGTACAGTATCCACCTTATAGCTTTGGTGAGTGATGTTGCTGAAACATTGGTGAGCATATGTGTCGTTAAGTCCCTGCTTTTAATTCTCTTGAGTGTCCATCCAGAAATGGAATTGCTGGATGGTGTGATATTCTGTTCGATTTTTTTGAGGACCTATCCTACTATTTTTCACAGCAGATGCCCCATCTTACATTCCCATCAGCATTACACACGGGGTTCCAATATCGCCACCTCCTCACCCGCACTTGTTATTTTCTATGTGTTTGTTTTTGTTAGTGTAGGAATCCTAATGGTGTGACGTGGTGTCTCATTATTCTCACTCATTTTTAACGCCATATTTGTAGTTAGTGTACAAGACACGTTACTTTTTTTTTTTAAATAATTTTAGTTGTAGATGGGCACAATACCTTTATCTAATTTATTATATGTGGTGCTGAGAATCGAACCTAGTGCATCACCCATGCTAGGCTAGTGCTCTACCACTGAGCCACAACTCCAGCCCTCACAGTTACTTTGAATATTATGTTAATCAATGTCTGGCAGGAAATTGAATTTATACATTCATGTGTATCTACATGTATGTATGCATTCATTCCTCTTCTAGTTCCAAAATTTGTGCGATACCTTCTAAGCATCAACATGACTAAAATAAATAGTTCAATTCATGGCACTGGGAATATATTAGAAAAATGTTTAAAAAGAAAAAGAAACTATAGTCCAAAATAGATGAACATGAACGTATGTTTGAATGTCCCACACAATTACTAAAACTGGTGTGAAAGTCATTCCTGAACTTCCTAGTAGCAAAGAAAAAAAGGGAACAGGGTAGTAACATGGTTTGTTCCAAATGATGAAAGCACAGAGAAAAGGCTTTCCTTGGCTTGCAAATGTAAGAATTAAGCAATAACTATTTTGAAAGTTTCAATAATAAGTTTGAAAGTTTCAAAACAGTTTTACTGGCACCAGCAGATTTCAGACTAAAACAAAATTTTCATTTTTACTTTTTGGGGTTGGAATTGGAAATGACTCCACAACCTGACCATTATAAGACTGTTTCTGGCTAAAACAGTAGTTTCAAAGTACAGTTAGTGAAACAAAAAGTAAATTTCATGTATCTCAACAGAGCAATGAGATCTAATCCTTTGGACATCAGGCAGTTAATATTTTCTGTAGTATAACAGGTAAAATCTTGAATTGCCTCATACATGTTTATACGTGTACCTAGCATTTCCTTCCCAGGTCACAGATTATAAATATGTGTGTTTATATAAATAGTCTTTTTAAAAATGTGTGCTTATCTTCCATTGGGAAAAGATCTTCATCTTCAAATCTGATGATGAAATTTCTGTTTCAACTTGAAACTACGGGAACTAATGTATCATTTCAAATATATGTTAGAAAAAAAAGTTTCATAACTGGAACTGTGTCAAGTCAGCTTTTAAGCATTTAAGAGCAAAGAAAAAAAAAAGAATAAAAGCCACAGCCACATCCAACAGATTTTTAAAAGAACTTAGAAAGTTTGTTTTAAAAATTACTCTAAAATTTAAAGAATTGGTCTGGAGTTTTCCAGAAGTTTATAAAATATAATAATGGTCCCCCACCCACCCACACACCCACACCCCTCGAGTTCTGAGGATGAAACTCAGGGCCCTGAGCATGGTAGGTGAGCACTCTACCACTGAGCTACATCACTAGGCATTTTTATTTTGAGATAGGGTCTTGCTAAAACCTTGATTTCTAAAACCTTGTAATCCTCTTTCCTCAGCCTTCTAAGTAGCTGGGGTTACAGGCGGATGCCACTATGCCCAGCAAATAATGCATTTCTTGATCATTTATAATGTTTTAGACACAGTTCAGAGTGCTTTGTACATATTTACTCACTCCATTAAATTTAATGAGGTTAATCAGTAGTATTAGGTAGGGAAACTGAGACAGGAAGCAGCTAAGTGTCCTTGCTCCAGGTCATACAACCAGGAGTTGGGACTTATACAACTAGAGCTGGGACTTGTACATCACATAGTCTGGCTCCAGAGGCCACACACTTACTCACAAACTATACTGCCTCTTGACATCATAGCAGATGAACAGAGGACAGTTGTGGCCAACTGATAAATATTTTACTTTTTTTTTTTTTTTTTGTAATTAAGGTTTTGGGGTATTTTCTTAATAATTAAACTCATCTAAATTTTTTTATTTGTTTTTTTTTCCATGCAATATGGGAACTACAGTTTAATAAAGCAGATTCCAGTGATTTTTTTATACATATATCTTTGGCCTTTAATATATATTTATGTATAGATAGATCTAACAATTATAAACTGTGGTTTATTTTGAAGGAAGCGGGTAAATGAGATTATTTGGTTTTTTGGACTGGGAATTGAACCTAGAGGCACTGAGCCACATCCTCAGCCCTTTTTATTTTTTATTTTGAGACCAAGTCTCTCTAAATTGTCCATCCTGGCCTCAGACTTGTGACCCTCCTGCCTCAATCTTCTGAGTCACTGAGATTTCAGGTGTGCACTCTTGCACTGGATTACCTCAATTACTCTTGAAAACTTGAAATTTTGTCTCATAAACAATTCATGGAGCTATTTTTTTTTTCAAAAATGAGTGACACTCCTGATTCTGGGTAAATGATAACCTCTGTGCCACCATTAAAAATGATATTTTTATGAAGAGTAAAACCATGAAAGAATGATTCTAAAGTGGAAAGCAGGAGAAAGTAAATTTATGAGAAGCCAAGCTGTATATCACATCACTCCCAAAATTAGAAAAAAGATGAGAAAATCTATGGCTATCACTGGGTAGACTAGCAATGATTTCTTGTTTGTGGTTAATTTTCAATAAAATTTAAACAATTGGAGACTTTCATTACAAAAGCATTGTATATAGCTCTGAATATCTTTGGTATAATTTAGAGTCATCCTTGAACACCTTTGGTATAATTTTGAGTCATCCTTGAAAGCTCTATACCATAGGGGTAAAGGTGGACAAAATTCAGACCAGCACTATCAGCTGTGGCTAATTTAATTAAAAATGATAAAATTTAAAATTCAGGGACACAGCCACATCAATGTTTATAGCAGCACAATTCACAATAGCTGAACTGTGGAACCAACCTAGATGCCTTTCAATAGAAGAATGGATTTTTTAAAATGTGTCATATATACACAATGGAAAATTACTCAGCAATAAAAGAGAGTAAAATCATGGCATTTGCAGGTAAATGGATGGAGTTAGAGAAGATAGCTAGCCAATCCCCAAAAAAACAAATGTCGAATGTTTTCTTTGATGTAAGGAGGCTGATTCATAGTGGAATAGGGAGAAGGGAGCATGGGAGGAATAGATGAACTCTAGATAGAGCAGAGGGGTTGGAGGGGAAGGGAAGGGGCATGGGGTAATTAATGATAGTGGAATGTGATGATCATTATTATCCAAAGTACAGGTATAAAGACATGAATTGGTGTGAATATGGTTTGTACACAACCAGAGATATGAAAAACTGTGCTCCATATGTGTAATAAGAATTGTAATGCATTCCGCTGTCATATATAAATAAAAAATAAATAAAATTTAAAATTCATTCTATTAGCCTCACTAGCCCCATGTCAAATGTTCAGTAGTCACATGTGATATTGACAGCTTTACCATTATCACAGAAAACTATTGCACAGCACAGTTCTGAAGAAAGAACACAGAATCTGGAGCCAGAATCTTAGAATCAAGTCTTCCTCCAGGCTGGCACCTTCTGTGTGAAATGGGGCAGTTTACTTAACCTCTCTGAGTGTCTTTCTCCAGGGGCAAATTGATACTGGTATCATTTACCATGTACAGAGGTTAAGAAAAGACAAAAGTAAGAGAATGCAGGTGACAGTTCTTGTGTTCTACCAGGAAGATATTGCTTCATAAGTCCCCCAACTTGAAGTTGATCTGGCTCTTTTGTGGATTGCTTCCAAATCCATAAACAGTTCATACCAAGAATTTTGTGTGAAGGACAGCATAAACTGACTTAATACAGTTCCTAAGCCAGGTCCATGGCAATGTGGGCATTCCATTCCTTCCTATTCTAAAGCTTCAGCACACAACTATGTATCTTACTTATTACACCTGCTCAAAGTTTTCTTTAATAATTGCATTGCCTTGCCAGACATGGTGTAGTGCAAACCTGAAATCCCTGCAACTTGGGAGGCTGAGGCAGGAGGATTGAAAGTTCCAGGTCAGCCTCAGAAACTTAGCAAGACCTTGTCTCAAAATAAATAAATACATAAAAACAGATTGGAATGTAATTAGGTGGTAAAGCATTCCCTGACCAGTACCCACCCCTGGAGCCAAACAAAAAAATGAAGAAGATGGTGGATAGGCAGGGAATGTAGCTCAGTGGTGAAGCATTTGCCTAGCATGTGTGAGGCCCTGGGTTTGATCCCCCAAATAAATAAACTAAAATATATACATACTTACATACATAAATTTACTGCATTTCTCTATTCCACACCTACAATATTAAAAAAAAAACTGCCTAAGAAAGAAAATAAAAGGACTGCATTTGCAAAATAAAGAAATAGAATGTGTGCTTTAGTTGAATCATCTGAGTTGACAGTGCAGGAATTAATCAAAAGATGTTGCCATTTACTGCAAAAACTAAGGTTTTCACCAACAGTGGCAGCAGGTTCTCTAAGTTTCAAAGCTGTTGGAGGACTGATAAAACGGAAGTACTTGCTCATTCTGGTTTTTTTCCCCCCCTTCTGAGTCACTTCTGGTTTTTCCTGCTCAACTTGACTATTTCAGACTATTTTAAGGCTGCTGCAGTTCTACAACAGCCTCCATCTTATTTCTCATTTAACCACCCCATGGCCTAAAAATTCCTAAGCATGCATCTTGTGAGCCTGGAAAGAGGCAAAGGAGTCAAATTGGGGCTGAAGTCGGTGCAGTTCCCCACTCATGCCACCTTTTGCTTCTCCAGGTTTCCACCAGCTGTGGATGCCTTTGACATTATGACCGCAGAGGATTCCACCGCAGCCATGAGCAGCGACCCAGCCGCAGCCTCCTCGGAGAAGGTACCCGAGGGCGTGGCGGGCGCGCCCAACGAGGCCTCGCTGCTGGCGCTTATGGAACGCACCGGCTACAGCATGGTGCAGGAGAACGGGCAGCGCAAGTATGGCGGCCCGCCCCCCGGCTGGGAGGGCCAGCACCCGCAGCGCGGCTGCGAAGTCTTCGTGGGCAAGATCCCTCGCGACGTGTATGAGGACGAGCTGGTTCCCGTGTTCGAGACAGTGGGCCGCATCTACGAGCTGCGCCTCATGATGGACTTCGACGGCAAGAACCGTGGCTACGCCTTCGTCATGTACTGCCACAAGCACGAGGCCAAGCGCGCGGTGCGCGAGCTCAACAACTACGAGATCCGCCCGGGCCGCCTGCTAGGCGTGTGCTGCAGCGTGGACAACTGCCGCCTCTTCATCGGTGGCATCCCCAAGATGAAGAAGCGCGAGGAGATCCTGGAGGAGATCGCCAAGGTCACCGAGGGCGTGCTCGATGTGATCGTCTATGCCAGCGCTGCGGACAAGATGAAAAACCGCGGCTTCGCCTTTGTGGAGTACGAGAGCCACCGCGCCGCGGCCATGGCGCGCCGCAAGCTCATGCCCGGCCGCATCCAGCTGTGGGGCCACCAGATCGCCGTGGACTGGGCCGAGCCTGAGATCGACGTGGACGAGGACGTGATGGAAACCGTGAAGATCCTCTATGTGCGCAACCTCATGATCGAGACCACCGAGGACACCATCAAGAAGAGCTTTGGCCAGTTCAACCCCGGCTGCGTGGAGCGCGTCAAGAAGATCCGCGACTACGCCTTCGTGCACTTCACCAGCCGCGAGGACGCAGTGCACGCCATGAACAACCTCAACGGCACCGAGCTGGAGGGCTCGTGCCTGGAGGTCACGCTGGCCAAGCCGGTGGACAAGGAGCAGTACTCCCGCTACCAGAAGGCAGCCAAGGGCGGAGGCGCAGCGGAGGCGGCAGCTCAGCAGCCCAGCTACGTGTATCCCTGCGACCCCTACACACTGGCCTACTACGGCTACCCCTACAATGCTCTGATCGGGCCCAACCGGGACTACTTCGTGAAAGGTTAGTGGGACTCTTCTCCTCGGCGGGTCCCCCTGGCGTCCCGTTACTAGGCAGCCTATACTGAGCTGATTGACCATGAGCCCTACTCTTTTGGCTTTGGATTTGGGTTCTGAGTTCTGTTTGCTGATTCTTCAGACTGATTTCTGAGCACTGAATAAAATACAGACCCTTCTTTTGGGAGCAGTCCAATCAAGGGACTACAGTCTCTCTTGTTAGGGCCTGCACAATTTGGTAGGCCTGCTCATTTCATGGTCAAAACCTGCTTCTGAAATTAAATGTTTAAGTTGGGGCAGTGTTTTGTTGTTGCTGTTTGTAATCATTGGTTAGGACATAATGAAACCCGGCATGACACTGGAAAACAGAGAACCCCAGTTCTAGGTCCTGTTCTCTAATTATCTGGATCTGTAACTAGTCAGTCACCTTAATGTCCCTAGGCCTGTTTTCTCCATCATAAAATGAGGCAGGTGGACTAGCAGATCCCTTTTCAGGACTGAACTTTTTTACACTCTATAAATATTTCTTTACTGAAGTTGCAATTACAATTCTAGGGACTCACTTTGCTGGTTAATCTCCTGCACAGAGTGGGCAGACTTAGGATGCACATCTAAGTGGAAACAGCATGTTTGGAGCCTCTTGACCAGCCCATCCAAGTCCAAAAGTGCAGCCACCTGCCATGTAGACTTAGGACAAATTAAATGCCAGGAATCGTGGGCCAAGGTCTTCCTCCTGTGCTGTCACGGTTGCTTGCTCATCATTTTTTGTGTTGTTATTATAAGCAGGCAGCATAAGAGGCCGAGGGCGAGGTGCAGCTGGCAACAGAGCCCCCGGACCCAGGGGTTCCTACCTCGGGGGATATTCTGCTGGCCGCGGTATATATAGCCGATATCATGAAGGGAAAGGAAAGCAGCAAGAAAAAGCATATGAACTTGTGCCGAATTTGGAAATCTCTGCTGTCAATCCAGTTGCCATTAAACCTGGTACAGGTCAGTATAAAGCAGAGCAAGAATGCATCCATTCTACCTAAACCCCAACCCTATCTTTGAAGTGAATCCAAGCCCTCTGGGCTCTTCTGGTTACCCGTATGTGGATTCATTTACCATGGGCAGCCAGAGACTAGGCAAAAAGAAGGTGGCCTCCTAGACCTTCTTATCTGGAACTTATGGGATGATCTAGCTCCAGGTCTAGCTCCAACCATGTTCAAATCAAACTGTCGAGTAGAAACTTTTTCTAGTGGGTATCACCAATTGTTGGTCTTTTTCTTAACCTGTGGCCAAGAAGGCAGAGTTAGGCCAGATAGTAGTGCATGCCTGTAATCCCAGTTGAGGCAGGAGGATCACGAGTTCAAAGCCAGCTTCAGCAACTTAGCAAGACCCTGTTGCTAAATAAAGCCTGGGGATGTGGCTCAGAGGTTGAGTGCCTCTGGGTTCAATCCCCAATAACACATACACTCACACAAACACACACACAAAAGGCAGAGTTAAGGTTAAGGAGAGGGAAGATATAAGAGAGGAAGAATATGAGACTCTCTGTATCTTCCAACAGCCAAAATCTGTCTTTTTCTTTCTCAGGTCTATTTCTGGCCCCACCATCAGGCGGTTTTTTATTTGTTTATTTTTGCTTCCCCCCCCCCCCCCCAGTGCTGGGATGGAACCCAGAGTGTCATCCATATAGGCAAGGGCCCTACCACTAAGCTATATCCCCCGTCCTACCCTAACTGTCTGAAGCCTGGAGGTGTAGCTTATTATCAGTTCTGGGTGTTAAAGGGTAGAAATCTCCCTTCAAGAGGAAGTAGCACCATTTGTCCCTCTTGTGGTCTAAGCAAACATGAACACTTGGGGACAAGGCAGTCGTCAGAGTTTCTGTAATTGCTGATTCCCTGTATTGTAATTTCCAGCACTCGCATCCTCTTCCTGCTGGATCAGTAGATTTAGAGTAGGGATGCTCAAGTCAGTCCAGCTGGGGATCTTGAACTGTGCTCCAAGCCCCAAGAACCTGTTTGCCAACATCGTTGCTACCCTTGGCAACCTAACCTGAGGCAGGGCTTCTGATCCTAACCTGCAAGAAATTTTAACTCCATTCAGTGAGCCCTGCACAAACTTGCTCTCAGCACGTACCTCATAAGCATCTAAAAGCATGGAAACTTGAGTTGTTGAATAACTGGAGCAATATTTCTACGACCTCTTTCTGGCCTGAAGAGCATTTGAAGCTCAGCTACTCTGATTTTCCTGGACAAAATTGGGTCCAGGAATCTGTGTTTGAGACATAGATTGGCATTGGATTCACAGGGCTAAAAAGCACGTTTGTAATGGAGCCTCCATTTGAAGGAAAGTGATGGTTTTTTGTTTTTTTGAGTTTTTGTTTTTTTTTTTTTTTTTGCCTGTGAAATAGTCCCTCCATCTCTGCAGTTAAGTGACTGGCACTAGATTTCCTTATAAATATCATTGGTCCTATGAGCAATGTAAAACTGATTCCCTAGCTTTCTGTAACTCCAAAACATCTGGATAAAGGAGTTCTACTTATTGGGAAAGGGTCTTCTCCTTGGCAAGTTACGTAGCTTAAGGTTTAACTAGAGAAAATAACTGTTGAACAGTCTTTAGCCATGTATCACCCCAGGTAGATTCCTGCAGGCTGGTGGCCAGAACCATGTAGAGTTTACTTGGTACAATCCCAACAGGCTTAAATTGATAACCCTCTGCGTCCCATCCCCTTGGCCTCTATTTCTGAGCACCCAGAAAATTTGAACTAGGAGAGACACCAGGGTGGTGGTGTCTGGGCACAAGACCAGTGGAAGATATGGTTGGAAAGGCAGGTAAAATATTTGGTTAAGGTTTTAGATATTTTTTATTGAATGACTGTACCATTGTTCCACTTATGGTCATTTGCCTCTTTACTTTTGATCAAGTCAATCTTCATTAGAATAAATGGACCTACCTATAGTTGAAGAAGAAACATAAATGAAAGGGTTCTTTGTGTATCCATTTCATATTCCATATCCTTTCAACACGCACAGCATACACACGCACAGACTTCCCCCAAATCAATGCTAAAATCTTTTCCTTGGGAACTTTTCTTATTGTGTGCTGACATTCAATCACTACTATCTGTTTGATTCTCTGCTTAAAATCACTCCTTTGGATGCTGTTCAGAAAGTATTTGAATTGGCAGGTCCCTGAAAGACCAGTCACTCTTCCTGCTTTACTGCTAGAAAAATTAGAGAATTTTACATCTTTTGTTAAGTCTCCCCCATCCTTGCTCTGTAACACTGACATCCGAAATACAGGGCAGGGAGAATGTGCACAGATCTCTGAAGTGTCAGAATGAAACCTCACCAGCACTTGCTTTTTAAAAAGTGGTGAAAGTGAAAAAGGCCCTGGGTCTGGTGACGGAAGAGGTGAGTGAGAACCAACAGGCAGGCGCAGCGCTCACGCTTGCTGGGCCTCCCACCTTCGATTTCACTTCTTATCCTGAGCCCATTTTTCAGGGTCTCAGGCCCTTTCCTGATTGATGGGACATCAAGAGAATGATTCAGAGGGAGCTTTCTGTAGACAAGTGGAAAATGTTGGTGCACACCCTAGCTCTAGCCTCCCCTTCCACATCGGGAGACGCCATCCCGTGTGGTTCCAAGACAAGCAGAAGAAGTTCCCTGCTGCCTCCCGTCCCTTCCTGCTGGGCAGTACCTTGTTAAATGGCCTCTACTGAAAAAGTATTCATAAAGTCTAGGGAGGCCCCCTGACTGCTCACCTCGTTTTTCCAAAAATACCATTGAGCACATGGTAGATCCTCCTCAGTGACTGAAAGTGACGGACCTGTTTTGCCTTCTTGCTTCTCTTACAGTGGCCATCCCTGCCATCGGGGCCCAATATTCCATGTTTCAGGCAGCCCCAGCCCCTAAAATGATTGAAGATGGCAAGATCCACACAATGGAGCACATGATCAGCCCCATCGCTGTGCAGCCAGACCCAGCCAGTGCTGCCGCCGCCGCTGCTGCTGCCGCAGCCGCTGCTGTCATTCCTGCAGTATCAACGCCGCCACCTTTCCAGGTAGAGCTCCCCTTGGGTCATTGTCATTTGTATGTGGATCCTCTCCTTGCTGTGGCATCATCTTAGCATTCAGCACTAGAATTTACTTGGAGCCTAGCTCTCTGTTACAGCTATGGGATTGGGTAATTTTTTTTATTAAGAATTGCACTGCTTTGAGTGTGTCCTTGTTATTAAAGATAGGGAGCAGTATTACGAAATATGAGGTGTGGTTTTCAGGGTCATATTTTTTGTACAGCACCGAAGCGTGTTCAGCTCATGCTGTGACGGAGTTGATGCCGGGAGTCCAGGGAGATGGAGCCTGTGTTCGTATTCTGATTTGAAGCTCATGAAAGATTTTTTTTAAATGTTTACCCTTTATATATAAAGTATGTTTTATGTATTTATGTGTGCACACATATGCGTAAAAAGCACAAGAATTTCTGTGTAGATAAAAGTATATAAAACTTTACAAAAATTTGCCCTCACTCCTCTTCTCTGGCCACAGTTCACACTATTCCCCTGTCTTTTCCAAAAGCTAATGTTACCATTTGGGCCTCCTTCCCCTCCTTTGCTCATCGTGTTCTCCTACCTACCATTTCTTGGTTGTGTCTCTTCTGCAGAACCTCCCTCTCACCTGTCCTAGAGAAGTCCTCCCTCCCATACTTGCCATTACCACAGTATTACTTGGCACCTAGCTGCCACTGTGCTGTGTCTTAGAAAGAGACTCCCCCAGGCCAAAAGCTATGTTTTAGGCTTCTTTGTATCTTCAGTGCACAGCACAGAGGGACATCAACCCTACCAAAAAGTCTTGTTAGAGCTCTTCTCTGTGAAGCATTCAATCATGAGCACCTTACTACAAATGAGAAATGCCCGCGCCCAGGGTCTAATTGAACAAGAACTACCCAAGGCATGTATTGAGAAACTGATCGCTATACTCAAAGCCATTTCAGTTGGGCTGGACTGGGGTTCTAGCATCTGTCATTTTATACGAGTACCTCAGTGGTTCTGAAATAGCCACCCCAGGAGGATGCTCTTTCCCTGCTTTTGCCTACTGGGAACCCATTCTTGGCTGCATTACTCAGAAAAGGTTAAACCAATTGGAGTTTGTCAATGTGTCATTAAGAATTCTTGGACTGGGGTTGTGGCTCAGTGGTAGAGCACTTGCCTAGCATGCATGAGGCACTGGGTTCAATTTTCAGCACCACATCTAAATAAGTAAATAAAATAAAGGTCCATCAACAACTAATAAAAATATAAAAACAAACAAAAAAAAAAGACTTAAGTCAGGATCCCTAGGGGGCTGAGGTGATGGGGAGAAGGAAGGAAGAGACTCACACTGTACCATGAAAGTTTAGTTATCACTTGAGGAATGATTGCAAATATCCATAACTTGAAAGTAATACTGCAATTAAGGTAATTTATTTTAATACCTATTTTTACTTCTAATTGGTACATAATAATTGTACATATTTAGGGGTACAGTGTATTAAGATCTGATCAGGGTAACTAGCATATCCATCACCTCAAACATTTGTCATTTCTTTGTGTTGGGAGCATTCAGAATCCTCTCTACGAGCTCATTAGAGATATACAATTAACCGTTGTCAACATAGTTACCCTACTGTGCTATAGAACATTAGAAGTTATTCCTTCTAGCCAACTGCATTGAGTAATAATTTTTAATTCTTCTCCACTACGAAACTCATTCAGTCAAAGTACAACTGTTGTCAGTTGATTGCTGTGGACATTTGTTCCTCCTCTAGTACTTTGTGCAGAACGCCCAGAGCTACTGACTTTTTAACCTGCTATGCCTTTGTACTCTTTAAGTCTGAACACCCTGTCCTTGTCCTTTAACCTGGATTCTCTAATAGGTTCAGCCCTCTGCTTCTTTTGAATTTCCTGCTGAATCATGGCAGAGGAAGGAGTTTCGTTGTTGTTGGTGGTGGTGGTGGTAGTGAGGATTGAAGCCCAAGGTGCATTACACCGAGCCACATCCCCGGCCCTTTTTATTTTTTATTTTGAGACAAGGTCTTGCTAAGCCACTAAGTTACTTAGGGTTATGTTAAGTTGCTGAGGCTGGCCTTGAACTTGCAATCCTCCTTCCTCAGCTTCCAGAGTCACTGGGATTACAGGTATGCGCCACCATACCTGGCAGAAGGAGCATTTTTAAGCACCACTGATTGTTGAAAAGAATCCTCTCTAAGCCACACTGGAAACTGATCTCCCAGCGTGGCTTCCAGAACCTACCTGAGGTACACCTTCCATCCTCCTCCCCTGCCTTGCAGGTGCTCAGGGATCCAATTCAGCCTTTTTATATCTAAAAGTTCATGTGGCCTTTGCAAGCAGTGAAGAAATATTTGTCAGTGTAGATAGGCTTTTTCAAATTGCCTCCTCACAGTGTTTTAATTCTCAACAAGAAATCTGTAATACAGGTGGAGCAGAGATAACCATTCCTCCTGGAGGGAAACCCAGTCTTTTCCCTGCCCACCTGCCACCTTCCCACCTACCTCATCTCCCTTCGACGCGTGTCACTTTTTGAAAGTCTCAGACCTAGTACATATAACCAGGCCAGGAACATGTGCCCCCTCATTTGCTAGGGATGTAAGTCCTACCTGCAAATGTTACTTGTGACAAAGGCATATTACCAACACTGATGTTAAAGGAGTCTTAGCCAAGCACAGGGAATGGGGTGAGAACAAAGCAAATTGCATGCAATAAACGGGGGGTGACCTTGGTGATTTAGGTATAAAGCTGTTAATAATATATTTATAAGCTCACAAAAAATCTGGGATAGCAGGAGGAAGTGAAATTCACAGGCCAGCCCCCGTCTCATTTAATCCACGGTTTCAGTTTCCTCGGTTGAATTAGAAGTAGTTTTTAAAGGTGTTCAATGGTATCTTTGTCCCGCTGCCACTCCCACATTTTTCTCTCTTCCTTCTCTTCGATTAAGCTGTATTAATCAACGCAGGAGTCCTTCACTGGCTCTCAGCAAGACGCTTCTCATCTCTTCTTCCTTTGCAGGGAAGAAAATCAAGGCTGGGGAGGTGACTGAATCACCTAGAGCCATATGACTGGCAAGGGGCCAAATTTGGGCAGGCAGATCAGATCTGTCTCCGTCCTCATATTACAGAAAAATACTGTCCATGAAAGGGACGTCACCGGGAGTGAGAAAAGAGGCCAGGGGTTTAGTAACCTGCTCTTGATTTCAGGTTGGCCGAGGAGAGTTTGAGCCTTGATATTTCTCACAGCCTTAAGGAGGATTTGTTGACCCCACTCTCTGGGCACAGAGATGATTTTATCAGAAAGGGCAGACAGACAGCGTGAGCCCTCCAGTGCTCTGGTCACTACTGACAAGTGCTGCAGACCCTTCCCTCCCCCTGCTGGTCATCCCATTGGTGCTGCCCTGCCAGGGCGCCCACCTAGGCCAGTTCCTGTAGATTGTAAGGTTTTCAAAAACAACCAGGTCACAGTACATTTTGCTTCAGGCCTGAAATAGAACTACAACCCAAGGACCTGAAGGAAAACATCTTTTGGCAAAACAAACAAACAAAGCCCATTCTACCCGTGGTTCTGCCAGCCCATGTCTTCTCCCAGAAATCATCTGGATATAGGTTCATACACAGAGGTGATTAAAGATGGTCCTAGCCCCCATACTTGGGTTTTACTTACTCTCACCTTCAATCATTTGGTGGGCAGAAAGAATGACCTTTAAACTGGTTTGCACCACTAAAGCAGGAAGCCGGAAGCTCTGACAGGACACTATTCTGTTGAGGTCAAAGTGGGCAGGATCGTGTCTTGAGTTTGACTGCATGACCACTAACTGGGTCCCCAGACCATAGTAGGTGTTCAGTGAAGTTCAGGGAATGTTGGTCTATGGAAATTTAGATATCCATGCATGACCTGCCACCAGGAAGCCAAGACTGAAGCGACACCCTAACCAATAGCACAAACGAAGATCGAGCACACTTATTAGAAAACTGGAGCACAGTGGGGGGTAGCTGGCCGGTGGGTGTTGCCATGTAGTTGAGTCGTGACAGCCTCATTGTTGTAAGTTACTGCACAGTACTAGGCACGTGATAGGGAACGCTCAGAGAACACTCTACTCAGCTGTCAGTGAGTTCTTGTCCCTGGCAGCATGTTGGAAACACAGTGGTAGAAGTTTTTTCTTTCTTTCTTTTTTTTTTTTTTTTTACTTAGTTTATGATCATTAAGGTCGTATGTCCAGGTTGAGTCAGCACTGGGACACTCAGAACTGATGCTCCTCTGGATTTATTCTGTCATTCATCCACCCTGAGTGCTGAGTCATTTGCAAATATGTTCATAACTTGGTGTTGGGGGGACGGAGCACATCTGAGAGATGTCCTTCCCTCCCTGCCGTCTCCTCCCTTAGTGCATTTGTTATTAAAACCTATATCCACACATTTTGGAAAGCATTGCTGTGACCCAGTCTTCCAGTTTCAACACTCTCCTGGTTGTAAGGGGTAGCTAATGAGACTCTCCCTGTACATTGCATATTGTCATAGGAGGCCAGATTATATTGGGTCCGACATTTCATTGCTTAAAAGCCGTGTCACTATATGCAAATCACTCAACACATCTGTACCTCTCTGCGTAATCAAGTACCCACCTTCACTGGCCGTTGTGATGATTCAATAATGTCAATCAAACAAGGAACGCAGAATGGTGCCTGGCAGTGGTAATCACTGTTGTCATTCATTGTTATGATTATATGTTATTTGACACAGTTGAAAAAAGCATTCCTAAGTTAGAAGTTAGAAGTTCCTTTGAATATAATTATTGGTCTTATTCATAGATGTGTTAGAGAAATAACTAATTTTTTTATAAGAATTCAGTAAGAACTAACTTTTAAAGTCTAATTTTCCATTTAGATGTAGTGAGGCGTAAGGAGACCAGACAAGCCTTGAGTTCAGGATTTTCTGTGGAACATAAGATGCCCCAATCCCTTTTTCCACAAAGCTGCTTTCAGAACTAGCTCCACAGCAAACTTTTTGGAAAACACTTCGCAGGACCTGAATCTTCCCCTCCTAATCCTGTTTGTTCTGAAAACACGGTGTCTTACACTCTGAGCAGGGGCTTGTACAGAGCTATCCACGCTGAGGCAGCTTGAGCTTCCTCACTTCCTCCTCATTTGGAAACCGCTCTTTGTCCTTCAAAACACAGTTTAAGCGTCCCCAAATTCTGAGATGCTTTCTCCAACTCTCTTAGTTAGCAGAAAATCCTCTATGTGGAGGGGTACGCAGAGTGGTGTCCTAGCTCAGGTGGGACATGATAGGAGCCATCAATCACATTGGCTGGAAAGTACATAGTCACAAAATTTTAAGGTCTTAGCTTAAAAATCTGTCCCTTTGAAGACCATTTCCATTAAGTTGGAAAAGTCTCCTCTCTGTGTCCCCACAAATAAGTGTGAGTGAAGGCAGCTGGCAGGTATTTAGGGGCCACACTTCAAGGAAAATACTTATTTTTAATTATTGTGTGGAAGGAAGATTGTCCAACTCTCTGTCCAGCTCACTATGGGGCATGGACAGAGTGGAATGATGAGTAGAAGAGTATTCCAGCTTCCCCTCAGCCTTCCTGGTCTCATTTTCACCAGGGTGACATCCTGGAATTTGGATGAATGACGTGCTTAAGGATGTCACTCCCCCTAGCTCTTTAATGGCTTTTACCCCAGCCCCTGAAAATAATCGTTGCTTGCTTACCCTCCTGGCTCCCCGTCCTGAGGTCCTGCGAATAGAAACCCTTGCCTTCATCCATCTTTGGGGATTCTTCCATCCCTGGGAGAAGATGCTCAATGAATGAACAGGTGGTGGTAACTGTTGTGAGTGTGAACTGTTGTGATTTGGAGTGAGCAGGTTCAGGAAGGCTTCTTCTTGTCTCCCCTCAGGGCCGCCCAATAACCCCCGTGTACACGGTGGCTCCGAACGTTCCAAGAATTCCCACTGCCGGCATCTACGGGGCCAGTTACGTTCCATTTGCTGCACCGGCCACGGCCACCATCGCCACACTACAGAAGAATGCTGCCGCCGCCGCTGCCATGTACGGAGGGTACGCTGCGGGCTACATACCTCAGGCCTTCCCGGCTGCTGCTATTCAGGTCCCCATTCACGACGTCTACCAGACCTACTGAGGCTGGTGACAGGCGCAATGGCCAGCCACAAACATCGCTGCAGGAACACTGTACAATTTATGAAGAAAGGACCATGTTGGATTCGCGCACATGTGAACCGTGACAGTGAAGAATGTTATCGAATATCAAATATCACCTGAAATATTTTATACACATGAAGTTTTCACTAGTTTTTTTTAAGACTGTCCTCAACTGAGCAGGCCTGTGTTCGTACATTTCTCAGAGACTCGCAGGGGTCTGTGCCTTAATACCATCTTTTAAAAAAACTTGTCCGCCGAATGACATTTGTATAGAGGTTTTGTGTTGTTCTGTTTTTTAAGGATATATTTTTCAGTATGAAGGTTATTTTCTTAACTTCTGCACTCCGGAGAGTTCTATTTTGTGGTACCTTCCATAGTAGACCAGCTGGCTGTTTAAAAAGCACCCTCGAGCAGCTGGAGAACTGTTTTGAAAAAATATATTCACTATTTAAAGATGCAAACAATTGTGCTTTGAAATACTACACCAAGCATTATTTTAAAGGTGATACTGGAAAGTGCAATTTTAATATGAGTAAAACCTCTGCTGTATTTCCACTGGCATTAAGGGTTGACGGTGTTACCATGTGTTACCATGATGCTTCTGTTTTTGAAAAGAAATCGGAACACTCAATTTCTCCTCAGGCCAACATGGAAATGACTCGTCACACTCTGAGTCCAAACACTGGAAAGCTGTACCTGTCACCATTACCTTGGGTTGTTTCTCCATGTGCCTCGATTATTAAACATGCCCCTCCCATCCCACCTCACCCCAGTCCCCATCCCTAGTCCAGCTTCAAAGTTTGGCAATTCTAGGACGCATGAAGAACTCTATAGAGAAAACAACTGGTGGCTTTTGTACTTCTCCCTGGGTTTTTAATGGGCTTCTTTGTTTTGTTGTACTGTTTTGTTTTGTTTTGGTTGGGGAGGTATTATCTTCTACATGTGCTCTTTTCAGTAGCAGAGTACGTGTAAGCACCGGGTTTTAATATTATGTTTGCATAAGACATCTTCGCATAGCTATTTAATTGTCCAGGATAAAACTTTAATTCCCTTTCTGATGTTTTTATTTTATTCCTTTTTGAAGTATGGGTTTTTAGAGACAAAGAATGTATGTTGTTGTGGACAAGATCCCAAAGACTCTTGTCAGCAGAAAGTTAAGCCTCTAGTTGCCTTATCATGTTTCATGCAAAATGCTGTGGTCACCGACGGTGTTGGGAACGTTATGCTTGTTGAAAAGGGCTTTCCTCCTTAGCTGTGCACTCGGTGGCTGAGCTGAAGTGCAGCCCGCATATCCAGGAGGAGAGACCTGAAGGAGTTTTATAAAAGTTTGTAAATATCTTCTCATGCTGACTTTTTAGTCTTTTTATGTTGCTGAAGTTCACGGTATAGAGTTTAATGCAAAGTGAAACCATTTTATTTCAATGTTATTAAAAAGATTTGCTTTATTAGGAAGTAAATATATTGTTGCAGTGTTTTGTGCCTGTTTAAGGGCTTTTGTTTAGCAAAGTGAATGTAAAATACAGTAAAATGTTAAGATTGTCATCTCTTCTATGAACTACATCAACTTGGAATTTTGAAAAGGCTCTATCCAGGAAGTGCGGTGTGCAATAAGGTAGCAGATCCACAGTGGTGTTTTTATGTCATGTTAGAGATTTCATCAAATCATTCCATTCACTGTATTTCTGTTGATGGCTGAATTCTTATTTGTGGATTAATAATAGGATCATGCCCTTAGCAAATACTTTTAGTTGGTTTTTTTTTTTAATTAAGAGACTCCCAAATGCCTTCCCCCACCCATCTTGATGGGATGAGTTTTTATATATATAAGGAATATTTATTTAACTATTCTATAAAATTATTGAGTGCCTGCTAAGGCCTTTAAACATTCCTGACATTCCTTTCCATCATTCTTAAATGACATAAAGTGATAGTGCAATGTTCCTGATGAGGTACCCAGCAAGCTGCATCCAAACTCGGAATCTGTTGGAATGACTAATCCAACAAAATGCATTTTGGATCAGATCTTCATCCATTGACTGTGTGAAAGAAGTACTCTCCTTCCTGTGAAGGATTGTCACAGAGGGTCACTGGATGAAACTCTGACCCAGTGCTCTTACTGTATTTTACATGTGCCTGTAAATTATTTGCAAAAAAGAAAAAAAAGTTTTTTAACGGTATCTTAACATGGCAACTACCAAACTACCTTAAAAACAAATGTTGGTAACAGCCAGTTAAGTATCAGTGAGCCTCCTCTCTGTGGTCTTACCTGTTTCTATTGTTTCAAAACCATTTCATGTACACTACTGAGGTAAGTTTATAACTTGAAATGTGAACTTTTTATTTTTTAGGGGTTAAGAACAAACTACATAAATGTTTTAAAAAAAAGTTTTAGAGTTCTGCTTCACGTGCTATTAGTTTAGTTGTTACTTTTAGCTGCATTGTATTTGAAAAGCTTTTTAGATCTTGCTCCATTTACAGTACATTCTTAGGATGTATGTAGTAAATAAAGCTTTCTTTAAAGCAATTTCAAGACTTTATCTTAAATTGTGGGGTTTTTTTTAACACTGGTTTTTTTTTTTCTCCAACAAAATTAAGAAAGCCCTGATACAGCATAGAAGTGATTTCACTAATTGAGCGTTTTCATTTGGAGAAACAGGCAAGCTATTGTCATGTCTTTGGCTTGAAATTTCTATGCAAGATGAATTACCAAGACTTTGGCTCAGAAGGTGGAGCATTCAAATCCTACTAAGCATTTAGATTGGAACAGAATGTGACAAACTGTCCCAGCTCTCTCTGCGGAAGTCTGGTTAGGTACCCAAGAGCTTTGCATCCAGAACTCTCTGTGGAGGTGGCTGATGTGACATTGAGCTGTTTGGTGATCTCATGAAAGTGCTGAGGTGACCTTGATGGTCACTGCCTGTGAAACCCAGGCTTTCTTGTTTCTCCTTTTCATAGTGCACGGCAAGGTTATAGAACGCTTCCTTCCCTTTTCTGTAGAGACCATCAGTAACTTCACACAGTGTCTAGTAGCAAAGTCAGGCAAGGGATTAGACAGAAAGGGGCAAGTTGTCCAGGGAATTACTGCACTTTTCACACTTGCTCCACTTGGCTTTGCAGGTGATTAAGATCAAGAATTTTACCTTCTTGGGGGCTGGGCATATAGCTCAGTAGTAGAGCACTTGGCTAGCCCGCAGAAGAGGCTCAGAACCCAGCAGGGCTGAGGCTGCTGCCTTACCTTTGAACCTGGGTCATGGCCTCCCAACCCACATTCCCTGGAATCCTAATTTCCTGCTTCCTCTTAAAAGTATAAAGGCCTATTGAGAGGTAGAACAGGCCTGGTAACCTCCCAAGAAGACAGATCATTAGCAAATTTTTTTTCCTTTTATTTATTTATTTATTTTTTTGTACCATAGATTGAACTCAGAGGTGCTTCACGGCTGAGCCAAATCTCCAGCCCTTTTTAATATTTTATTTTTAAGACAGGGTCTCACCGAGTTGCTTAGGGCATCACTAAGCTGCTGAGGCCGAGCTTCGAACTTGCCATCCTCCCACCTCAGCCTCCCAAACTGCTGGGATTACAGGCAGGTGCCACCGCACCTAGCTAGCAGTGTTTTTAAGAGCAACATGACCTACTGATTCCTTCTTGTTCCCAGAGAAAAGTACAGATGCCCTTGAAGAGTCACAGAGTTAGATTGATCATGTTAGGACGGGAGTTAACAATCATACAAAATAGATAGCATGCCTCTCAGAGAGGGTGGGCTTTGTCCTTAGAGCGAAGCTTTGATCCTCTTGCACTCCCAGGACTGGGTCGTAGAACACAGAGCTCAGTAGTATGTCAGGTGAGGATAAATGTTATGACTCCAGGGTTCACTGGGCTCCGGCTTCCGTCACCTCAGGTGTACCACACAGTAAGTAGCAGAGTAGGTGAGGCAGAAGGTGACTGATCGAGGTCACACAGCTCGTAACAACCAGGACTCAAATCTGCACTCAGTGTCCACATCCTGGATTCTCAAACAGCACGCTGACCCTAGAAATGGATAAACGTATTCTTCCAGGAAAAGAAAAGGCCTTTTTACAAGAGCAGTTTCTTTCCTGATGGTTCTTAGTGTGTTCTTATCTGCAACTTGGTGGGTGGGAACTGAAGGTTGATGGCTAGAAATGCCTACTCTCCACCTGGAAGGGAGAGCAGCATGCTGGGCTGGTGAAAGTAGGTTGGTAGATTTAAGGAATTCTATTAGCTAAGATTATGGGGGAGGTTTACCAACACCATAGGAAATTAGCTGTATATACTCTTGAGATTGGTTAGTTTGGGGCTGGAGCTGGAATGCAGAGCCTCACACATGCCAAGCACACACTCGGCCACAGGCCACACACCCAGCCCTCTGATTCTTTCCTAGAATAGATATTTCTTTTTTTTTTACTATTCAAAAAAATCTATCATGGCAAAACATGAGCACTTATTTAGTTGAAAGAATAATTAACATAATCTGATTTCCTTGTGTATTCAATTATTGTACAACATTATCTTTATTATAAAATATTCAGGTCACTCAGTGTATATATCAGATTTGGGGTTTTTGTTGTTGTTTTTAATCACAGGAAGTGTGACATTATGGCCTGGTTGTTTCCATGAAATGACACTTTGACACACTATGACCCTAAAAAAAAATGATATCTTCAGCTTTTTTAAGAATTAACCAACGTGAGTCACAATGGTACATGCCTGTAATCCCAGCAATCAGGGAAGCTGAGGCAGGAGGATTGCAAGTTTGAAGCCATCCTCAGTTACTTAGCGAGACTCAGTCTCCAAATAAAAAGTAAAAATAAAGGGCGAAAGGTGTAGCTCAGTAATAGCCCCTGAGTTTAGAACTAAAAACCACAAAATAAATAATTACTGAGTAGGATGAAGCAAATGTACTCACCTGTTGTACCTTTCCTTGTGTATGACACATCCCATTTCTGATCCTCAAGGTCAAAGATAGAATAGGTTAGAATATAGAATAAGACCCAAGCCTATCTACAGAAAGCTTAGCTCATTCCAAAATCTAAGTTGCAGAGTATTGCAGTCCTTTCTCCTCTTTCCCTCTTTAATCTCCCAGTATAGCTCTGTTTTCTACTTCCCCATGCCAGTAAACCTGGGACATGTGACTACGCAGGTACTATGTGATCAAGCACCAGAACCTGCTGGAGCAGGCTGGGTTCCCCTCAGCATACCTGGGGGGGGATACCCTGGGGGGATATCCAGGGAATGAACCCAGAGGTGCTTCACTGCTGAGCCACATCAGTCATGCCACCTTGGAAAAGACTCCTACCTCCGATTTCTTAATTGCTTACAGATAATAATCCTGACCTCAAAAGTTTATTGTAGAAATAAAATAAATTCATGAATCTTAAGAGGCCTGCTATGTGCCTATAATCCCAGCTAATTGGGAGGGAGGCTGAGGCAGGAGGATCACAAGTTCAAGGCTGGGAGTATAGTGATAGGGTGCTTATCTGGAACGTGTGTTCAATCCCCAGCACTTGGAGTGGTGTTTTTAAAAAGGCTGACATGTTATAGGCGCGCACGTGTGTGTGTGTGTGTGTGTGTGTGTGTGTGAGAGAGAGAGAGAGAGAGAGAGAGAGAGAGAGAGAGTTTTGGGGATCAGACTCAGGACTACATCTTGCTAGGCAAAAATCTCTGCCACTGACCTGCATCCCCAGCCTCTGTAGGCACTTTTTTCGAAGGCCACTTCCTATTGCTTTCCCTTTTGATCTGTACTATAAATGCATTCTTCCATACCATTCTTCCAAGCCTTTTCTTTTAAGCCCCCTCCCCGACCCCCAGTGCTGGGGATTCAACCCAGGACCTCTTGCACATGCTAGGCAAGCGCTCTACCACAGAACCACACTCCCGACCTAAGCCTTTTGACTTTTTTATTCAGCCAGTTACTCAATACACATTTGTTGAATGCCAACGATACGCTAGCTCAGTGGAAAACCAACAGTCAACAGAATTCTCTCTCTCTCTGTCTTCCAGAAACTCCTAGCCCTCCAGAAACTTCCAGATGGTATTCTATGGGAGGGGGCACTCACCCAGGCTTGGGTAGGAGGGCAAGAAAGCTTGGGGAAGAAATGGCATCTGTGTAGTGGTCTCCAGGATGAGTAGGAGCTGGGGCAGATTGGACAGGGAGAAGAGGAGACAGAAACCCCCGGGGCCCAGGGCAGAGTGACCAGTCCAGGCCCTGAAAGCAAGTAGTTCAGTGGCTGCTTCAGAGGAGGAGAAGGGGAGCAAAGAGGCTCCACCTCTGCATGGTTCGTGGCTGTGCATTCACCAGGTAAGGAGATGTGCTCTCCAGGAGAAGGAAGCTGGGAATGATGATCAAGTGAGAAGAACCCTGAGGCATTCACCCATCCTTAGAATTTAGGGAGCATGCGCATCTGAGCCAAGGCCCTTAGGGCTGCCCAACATTTCCTTCTG